TGGCAGAACAAAGGAATGAAAATTTTTGGAGAGTGGCTGAGCCATTTAGAGTTTGCGGATGATCAAGTCTTAATAAGTAAAAATAAAGAAGAAATCCTAACGATGACAAAACAATTAATATTGGCTGGAGAAAACATAAGGCTCAAAATAAATTATAAAAATGCAAGTACATATCAGTAGGAGATATAAAAATAGGCAAAAATCATACAGAGAAAGTAGAAACATTTCTATATCTTGGGCACCTTATCTCAATTAAATAACGAACTGAAGAAATAATCTGGCAATGTGCTCAGGAATAGCACTCACTCTTCAAATTTAAGGATACATATAGATCCTCGGTGAGCTCAGTGGTCAAGAGAAAACTTTGGATGAGCACAGTACTTCCTGTCATGACATATGGTTGTGAAACATGGGCAATTAACCAGAAGACTTGTCACAAAGTGAGGATAACTGTCAAAGGAATGGAGCAATATCTTCTCGGAATAACACGGAAGGATAGAAAAGGGAATAAATGGATCAGATCTAAGATTGACCTTCCAGATATTGTAAAAAAAGTGCACATCAGGAAGTGGACCTGGACCGGACATGTGATCAGGAGAAATGAATTAACATGGACCATGCAGTTTATGGATTGGTATCCAAGAGAGCATGTGAGGAAGAGAGGACGCCTGCCGCCAGACTGGGACAAGGAGATGAAGAAGACCTGCGGGGGAGCAGTCTGGAAGAGAGTAGCATTGGAAAGGAAAGAGTGGAAACAGATGGGACAGGTTCACTACCTAGTGTGGTTGCAAGAAAGCTATGAAAAAAAAAAAAAAATGGAATCGAACTCAAATCTTAAACTAAAATGTTGATTTTGTACATATAATTATGTCAAGTATAAATCAAAATGTAATCATTTTTTATATATCTATTTTTTATCCATTGTTTTTAGCATTGTATGTACAAATAAAGGTTATTATTATTGATATTACAGTCTAATCCCCATAATAGTGGCAAATGTCAATAAAAAGTTTGTTATTTTTAATAGAAAATTGGTATATAAATCAAAAGTTGGGTGAGTGTCTTGAGTATAAACCTGAGTAAGCTCATTTTGAAAATCCTGGTAAAAGTATTTTTTTCTTTTCTTTTGTCATTTGTCCCAAATTAGGAATACAAATCCTAACTTGGGACATCCATCTAAAATAGTATTAGAATGTTCCATATTAAATTTAGCATCTCAAGTTAGGAGAAGTGATGTAAAAGGGGACAAAAAAAAGTTTTGAAAAAAAATTCTGCTTACGTAAAAATGAAGATAAGAAAATCCATCTTATTAATTCATAAGTTTTATTTCCAAAATCATAGATAAGAATTAGAAAAATAACCAAAGATGGGACATTAACCCAAACTTGGACACCTGCCCCATGTTTTGGATAATTTGTTGCTATTAAAAAAAAAAAAAATCTGGTACGCGGAACACATAATTTTCAGTTACCACTCTACTTTGAATGGAAATTATTTTCTGGCAAAGTTGGGCTACTATAAAATTTTTAAATGAATTTTTAACGGAGCTACAACTTAAAGCTCTTAGCTAACAAATCATTAAGACCGTTATAATAACAAAAGCCCTATTAATTTTATCAACGGTGGACAATAAAAACTTTGTTACTCCATCAGTTTTTGTAAACCACCTAACTCCAGCCTCTGAGTTATATATCTACGTATATGTCTAGAGTGATTTGAAAGTGTATCTGTGTATTCAACCTATAAATGATTATGAATTGTACAACTATTAGTTATTAAGAATTATTTTCCATTGCAAAGTTTACTAAAATTAAATTATGAGATTTTCGTTACCTGCCAAAGATAGACCCAGGGGTGCCCACAAGGAGCATTCATGGTGCAAGTTGCGCCATCAAAATTTTTGAAGGGGGCATATTTTGATGGAGTTTTGAATTTTTGAAGGGTGCATATTTTGATGGGGTTTTGAATTTTTGAGGGGGTCACATTTTGACAAGGTTATGAATTTTCGAAATGAAAACTTTCAAATGAGGGAACAAGAGGAAAGCCAAGAACAGGAGGCCTTGAGCATTGAAAGCTGAGTACCCTACCACAAAAGCTAAGAAAAGCTACTCTACTCTCTATAGTGAAATTTCAAATTGTGGTTTAATTTTTGAACTGAAGAAAATGTTTCAAATTGTTCCCAAATTAAAAAAAAAATTAATAAACATAGTATAATTGTAAGTCCAGGTTGATTGATGTTTAGATAATCAATGCTCTACTGTTCATCATTACATATTATATACTTACATAATATATTTATATTGTCAGTTTATTAGTCAGAGGTGAACTTTTAAGAACACTTTTGTGAGTTACTACCTTATTCACTCATAAAAGAAAACATAGTAAGTGCATCAAAATGACGTAAGCCTGTTAGTAAATCAAATATAATAAGCACACAATTTTCTGATTTCGCAAAGGAAAAATTCATCGAAATTTCTAGTGCTTTAAGGTTATAAAATCTTACTTAATGACTTTTTGCAATAAACTGACAATGTATAGAAAAGAATGAAATATAAGAAGCAATTTTACTCTGGAATAAAGTGCCTTAAGAATCACAAAGTTGTACAGACTAATAAAAAATAATTTTGACCATAAGTGAATAATTAAATAATAATAAATTAAGTATGTACATTGATATAAAAGATACATTAAAAGAACAGAGTAGATATATTGTAACAATAAAAAGGTCCCTAAAAAAACCAACATACATAATGTGTATTAGAAAAGTAAAAAAGGAACTATACTTTTTTTTTTTTACAATTACTAAAACTATGAAGAGGTAGATTGGAAAAAAAAAAACAGGAATCCATTCAATTTTAGTAAAAATGAATCACATCCCACATAAAGAAAATCTTATAATTTACACAGCAAAACATAATACCTACCAGTGCTGTTACATATGCAATTAACCAGCATCTGATTAATTTGTAATAATAAATTCATATAGGAGGGGTTTAAATGTGGTTATGGAAGAAGCATGATGGATTTTAAAAGAAATGGAATTGCAAAAGATGGTGTAATAGACAATAAGGAGTGTTGAAATAAGGCATATTTGTGAAAAGCGATATGCAGATCAGAAGGAAGGCAAGGAAATAGATAGAGGATTGAATTGGAGAAGATTGTAGGAACAATACAGGCAATGATTTTTTATTATTTGGTTAACTGAGGGCTGGGAGGCCAAGCGGGCTAACCAGTGTGCACAGCACTGTGTGTTGCCCGGCAACCTGATAATCGAGGTTTCAGATAGAAAAATAATTATGAGTTCAATTCCTGGTGCCCGGTGGGACTTTAAAAAAAATATATATCCCATGATTGGAAAGACTCTAGATTTAAGATTCTATTGGTTTAGTGAGAATTCAAGTATTTCAATTTTTGAAACTATGGCGATTTAAATGGCGAAATAATGAAATCTATAATGATTAATGAAGTAAGAGAATTGGTAAATTCTTGATTAAACTTAAAGAGACAGTTTTTCTCTAATTTCTAACCGATAAAATGTTCTAATAATAACTCATATTTACAACCCTCACAACCATAATTTATATTTTAGCTAATGAAATGAAATTGTTTCATTTGTTTACTGCTGTTAAAACAATAATCAGAACCAATTACACTCTGCTGTTGAAAATCATCAATTGATAATTAGAAGAAACAGATTTCATTCTAGTTTGACTATATTTAATAAAAATTTATTATATTTAGAATGTTTGATTATGAAAGATTTTATTTTCTTTCCAACTAAGAAGAAATGAACTAATTTTCATTTTCATATTTAAAGATTTCATAAAGTTATAAAATTAAAATATAAACATCATTGTTAGTCACAGTTGTGACCAGCAATGGTCTCCATAAAAATTACTGATTCCAAATCAAAGCTAAGAACAGTGGTATAATAATAGATCTGATCATATTAATAGAACCTTAAAAGGGTATAACAATGGGAGATTTTTCATTTTATTGTTTGTTTCACACCAATTACTGGAGTATAAATAAAATATCAATAAAGATTAAAAAATAATTTAAAAAAAATAAAAGTAGCTCCAGATTAAAATAGAAATACCATATTCATTGTTCCAAAATGCTGCTTATTAATAATTGCAAAATTTGGAAGGAATTAGTAAATCAATTATAATTGGTTAAATCAGAAGAATGAGGAAACTTAAAAAAACAAGGAATCATAAATACATAAATGATTAAATATATTCTGAAAGCATAATGATAATTGTAATTTAGAACAATAAAAAGTAAGCACAATAATTACTATGGGACAATAATTCATAAAATTTTTTCAATTTCATAAAAGCTCCAAATTTAGGTCAAGGTGAATCAACTTAGTTGGAAATGACACAATGCTTTAAGAATTAATTTACATTAAAAACAAGATATGGAAATATTATATAACTTTTCGGTACAAAATTTAACTTAATATAATAATGATATCTAATGTGACATGTTTCTATAAATAAAAAGTTCGCAGGTAATTCATATTTGAATTAACTGTCGTTGAAAGATCTCGGATAAGCAACATAGCGGTCAAAATGTACCCATTATTTCTTTTCAAGTTTTTGAAGTTATTGGAGGCAAAATGGACGGGTCATAAACAAAGATTGTAATGAAATTCGATAATATTTACGACTAACATGAAACTATTAAAACATTTCAGTATAATCAAACCCAAAATATGACCGCCGTAACCTTAAACATTCAAAATTTATAATGTTGAAATTGTAATATTACTAATTACATTACGCTCAGATTTTAAATAATATCAGTGGGTTTAATTTTAAGGCAGTAATAAATATGTTCAGATAAATAATTATTAATATTTGTGATGAAAGGATTCTAAATTGAGGATATAGGGAAATTAATTTGATATCTGTTCTCATTTTTAGTTGATATGTTGGTAGTTGTGTGCTTTAAAAGCCGCATATGTTTCCTGTTGTGCTGTTTGTTGATCGAAGGTCAGTGGCACGGTCTCGTAGTAAATATTTTGAAATGTATAAATTGACCAAAAATGTAAGTGTAAAGATTGAATAATAGTTAAAAAGTTACACTATAATGACCATAAAGTTCTTATCAGTCATCACTCAACAGAGCTATAGGGCCGAACCTTAAACTGTCACATCAACTCAACAACTTCGTATCTTTATCCTTAATTGTCAAGGATCAGAAATGTAGTTTGTGACTTCTATGGTTTAAAATTTGCTTTGAGATAGCATTTAAGCCCATTATCAACCGCAATTTCAACATTTAATGTGATGGATACTAGCTTTTGTCAACTTGTACTATTAAGTAGTGATAAATAGGTTACGCTCTTTAGTGTTGAAAGTGAAAGAATTTCAGTGAAAATCTTTTTCCCATTGTCTTGTTTACGTTAATTTATACAAATAAAGTTAGGTAAACTTAATATTATTAGGAATTGTGTTAAATTCTGCATCTAACCTATATCTAGTGTTATTAATGACTTACTTTATAGTTATGGGTTTGTTGTTGGATAACTTTTGTTTATGTTTTCTTTTAGGTTATCCATCTCTGTGTAATGCTGATAACAATTGTTTTGTTTCAGGTAACTGTAAAGGTTGCAATTAAACCTCAAAATTCAGATAGTGTATTATCCTGTAGTAAACAAACAATGAGTGGGAATGAAACATAGATGATGGATGATAGGAACGGTTGCTTTGACCACGATGACTTGTTTGCTCGGCTTGGTGCCGAAACGGACTGCCTTAAGGATTTCATCTTGGAGCCTATGCAGCCGCTTAGTGTTCCGTCTCTTCTTCCTACCCAACCACCACCCATTCCACAGATCTCATGGAACAATGGGCAGATCCACTACCCGACTCCAATTCCCAATGTGGATCCACTAGGCCTTCCTCATGATGATGTACTTTCTCTTCCTCATGATGGTGGTCTTAGCTTGGCCCATGATCCAGGATTAATTCTTCCCCATGAACATTGTTTAAACCAACCACAGGATCATGTCTACCCTACCGAAATGGAAACAGTTCCTGTTACCAACGGGGACTGTTGGTCCCCGGCTGGTTTTGTGGGTGCAAGTCCAGCTGGTTTCACAACTGCTAGTGCTAGTGAAAGAACTGTGAGTAGTGACTGTGTTAGCTCAGAAACGATGTGTTCCCCAAGTGAAGGGACCAGTGATAGTCCGAGTGGCAGTAAGAATGTAGTAAATTTTGAGACTTTAGAAACACAAAAGAAGAGAGGTCGAAAGAAAAAAAGCTCTGAAAAGAAAAGACATACAACAGTTGCAACCTATCATTCACAAATTTCACCTGAACAAAATGGCATTATTTTAAAAATAAGGAAATCAATGACTGAAGTACCTCAGAAAAATCGAAAAAGAAGACAAAAAGAATCTGAGAGATATGAAGAAGAGTATGAAGAGCCTGAGGTGCAAAGTGGTTGGGGAAGTCATTTACCTAAACTTGTGCTTCACAAAATTTTTCAAATGGTTACAAGGACTGAAGGCTGTGTTCCATTTTTAGTAAGGTAATTCTTTCAATTTTATATTCATTAGTTGATTAGTCACTAATAATACAGTACTTGGGCTGTCAATTATTTATAACATTATTTTGTTTACAATCAAATGAAGTAGTAATAGTAAAGATAAATAATTCTATGCTTATCAAGTTTTATTTAAAATAATTTTACTAAGTAATTTTAAAAGTGAAAAATATCTTAACTTCTTATTTTATAATAATGGTATATCTACGGGCTTGTAATTTTTGATTTTAACTTCCAACAGATTACTAGTGAAATATTTTGCTTTAAACTTTGTATTCCCTTTACTTTTGATGAAGTGGGATATCCCTTATTTACACAAGTACTATATGTTTTTTCTTTGTTAAATGTCTGTACAAATCAATAAATAAACATGTTAATTGTTTGTAATTTACTTTTGCAAAATGGTACAATTTATTCTTGTGTTTTATAATCATGAAGTTATCAGTTCAACATATTCTAGTGATTCCAATCTTATAGCTAAACTTCAAATTTGAAATAGGTTGTGCAATTGTCGTTTAATTGTTTCTCTACAAGTTACAGCAGATGCTGTTGATACAAAATCTTTTTAGAGGGAAATGTAATAATTCGCTGTATTCGTATCTTCGTTTCATGATGAATTTGAATATGTTTCTGAAAATATAAGGAAGACATTTTATGTATAGTGTTTTATCTTGTATTTTAAAATTTTTTGTTATATTTTTTAAGTGAATATGAACCTGCCTGCCATTCATGTGACTAGTTTCTTAATTTTTCAATCAAGGATAGTTTATTAAAAAAAAAGTATATTGCCAACACATTTAATAAAAAATTGTCTATGTGTTTAGAGGTACTGTTCTTACATGAATGAGTCATTAATTCTTATTGGTTATAAATCTTACTATTTGCGATATTAACTCCTTTCGGAGAGTTTAGCAGTGTGTAGAATTGGAATACTTATATTTTATTTTAAGGCTTTTACTTTCTACTGATTGTTTTTCTAAAATCTGTTATTTTTTTTTAAATGTTCAGTATCATACAGTTTACTTAATTTATTTAGCATTTCCCTGAAAATCAATTTTAATTATATTCCCACACCTTGTTTTATCTCTTATGTAACATTTAGAATTGTTAGTAAAATTTTGAATTTTATTTGTTTAGATTTTTATTAGTTGTTTATCACTGAAAGTTTATCAGTGAATAGTTGTGGGTAACAAAATGTTTTTATTTGATTTGTTTTTAGTAAAAATGCTCAAGAAGGATCTGTTTTTTTCATTTTAATGTTGAATTACTCTGATAAGGGTTGTGATAAATGAATATTTCACTGTTAGTATTTTTATAATTGTTATTTTATTTCAATAATCAGTACACACAGCTTCCCATTTCACTATAAAATCACTCTCCTCATATAAAAGAAAGTAGATTTCAAGGTCAAACCCTCATTTTTAGAATCTTATGAAATCAAGTGTTGAGAAGCCCTTCTGTTAAATTTTGGAAGTGCATTTTATCTCTTGGTTGTTAATTTATCAAATAATTCATCATAAAATTTATTGTTCATGAAAATGCAAAATTTTTCATATATTTGTTTTCATTAAAAGTAAATTCTTTCAGATATTTATAAAATAACTTTGATAATTTAACTGTATATCATAAAGTGATATCTCAGGCTCTAAGGCCTTTAGTGAAGATTATATAGACCACAATATAATTTTATGAATTTCAGATATTGTTAAATTACTTGTTAACTGCTTTTATTTATTATCATGAATTAATAGAAACGTTTGTATCTGAAGTGATCTGAATCAATGAAATGTTAGCTATTTTGTAATTTTGTTGGGAGACGTGTATGTTGAAATTCTCTATTTGTATAGTTAAATTATAATTTTACTAGAGTAAGAATTTTGAAGATTATTCCATTCTCTGAATGTGAATGCACATTTCTTCACATTCAGAGAATTCTTCACATTTCACATGTCTTTTCAATAATTTTACTCTGGAATGATTTAGCAATTTTTTTAAGTTTTTATAGTGATTTAATATTTTTTAAAATTGTATTTCTTAAAATATGAAGAATGGGTAGAGTAAATTGTTTAAGTTGGGTTATTTGAATCCATTTTTATTTCTTTTTAAAGTTTTTTTTGTTTCCTTAACGCTCATGAATTCTCTTTATGGTAAAAGGGATGGGGCTATAGCCCTGGAGCCAGGGCCGAAAATTCGACCCATCGCAGGTGAAGGTTTGAATGTACAGGAAAGTGTATGTTATCCTAAGTAAAATGAATCTTATCTTGGCAGACAAGATTCATTTTACTTCATTCCAGAGCCGCTGATTTAAAGAAAATTAGGCCAGTATCTTGAGGATCAAAATGAGAAATATATTTCAAAAAATATGGGAAAAGTTTATTTTTTTAACTTATGTAAATGGGTTTGAAGATGTAAAATCCTAAATTTCTAACTCGAGCAAACAAGAGAAAACTTTTTACAGCCAAAAAAGCTGTATCTTTTTACTCCTAAACGTTGCATGGAAACGAAAAATATACTCTTTTTTTAAGAAATTAAAGAATGCTAAATTGTGTTTTGAACGAGTATCTTATTTGGTTAAGTGGTATGGTAGAAAACCACGTCCAACCAACGCTGATTTTTTCCAAATTTGTCAAAAACTGAGACAAATTACTCTAAATGTCCTGTAGATTGGAAATGAGTTCACTAAGAGGAAAAGCTCATAGAATCAAAGTCGTATTGTATGAAATTCTGCATCCAGTGAGTACCAATAGTTTTAATGTAGGTTACATTTATATAAGGGAGTTTATATTAAATAGCACTTATAAAGGAAGAGATTGGAAATAAAGCAAAATATCCTACAGATAATGGAAGAAAAGAGACTCAGGTGGTATGGTCATTTGAGACGAATGGACGATGATCAGATATGAAAGATAATTATGTATTGGGAAGCAAGGGTAGAGGAAGGGCCATCAGTTAGATGGAAGGATAGAGTGGTGGAGAGTATGGTTGATAGTGGACAGTCGGAGGAGAATATGATGGACCGGCAGAGATGGAGATACTTGCTAAAGATGGAGTTTATTTCATATTGAACAAACTCCTAAATAAAAAAAAAAATGTTTGATACGTTACTGAAATTTTCGTATCAAAATCCTGCTCACTGTATATGACATACTTTATTGCATCGATTTTACACATTTTTACAATTTTCTTGAAAATGGCTCCAATGATTCAGATTAAACTCATTTTGTATGTGTAAATGTAGTCTTTAACATCATGAAGATATCATCCTCATTGAAATGTAAAACAGGGTTTGATCACTTAATTTTAAAAATATTTTCCTTAGATAACATAATGATTTGGAAGAAATGTGATAACATAAAATAAATCGATACATCAGCGTGGAATCTTAAAAACCAGCTATATTTTTTTAAAAGCCTACACTTCAAATGACATTGTAACAGGCCAATTTATCAAAGAAAACCTATAAATTAAAATTAATCGATACAGAAGCACAGAATCTTAGAATTTATTTATTTTTTTTTAACTAAGCCTCTGACAAGATAGTATTGGACCTTAATATAGGTTAAATAGATCGACAAGTGAGTGCGGAATCTCAAAATCCATACAGGTTTCAAAATAGTAACCTCCTCTCCTCCCTGGTCATAATTATAATAATCCTTAATATATATACTGTGACCATTATTATATTTTTCACCGAGCATTGTACATCACATGGCTGACTCTGGACATATTTGATTATAAATTGCTATTGAATTTGTTTTCTAAGATTATATGTACATCTTTTAATTTAATATAATCTTTGATTCCTGAACATTGTTTCATTTTTCCTGGTTCCAGGTTCTTGTCAGACTGTGTCAAATAATTATTTATTCTGTTACATGAGTAGTGGATGGACCCAGGAGGGTGGGCTCTTACTGGAATCCAGCCTATTTGATAAAAAATTTGTTCTTCTGTGGAAAAAGAATGGCATACATTTGAGCCAAATAGTATTTAGATGTTAAAGAATCTACATATGATTGAGATAGCACTTTTTAAATAATAAAAAAAAGATTCATATTTAGGTAAAAACTAGAAGTAACAGTTTGCCTCGGAGGTGTGATGGGAATGGTGGATGTAACATGAGTCAATGTAGCTTGATGTGTATGGCTGCCAAATGTGATACTTTCAGACCTCTCTCAGTTCATAAATCGAATCATACTCTTAGTGTTACTTAAATAAAGTTGAAAACATGTAACTAGGTTTCAAAACTTGGATTGTGGTAAATCAGTGGATCTAGAAGGGACAAATTCTTTTGAAGATTGTACCTATAGTAATTTGAAAGGTTTCTAAATCATTTAAAAAAAAAAGAACCATTGTTATCGCACCATTATTAGTAAAGACCAAACACATTGAAATTCATTCATATATTTAGATTTAATATTTTCAAAACAAACCATATTAAGTGAAAAACTAATAAATAATGTGTTGCATGTATCGCACAACATTCACTTACTTTGATTGGAAATGGATATTTTCATACTTAAGTCAGTGAAAGTAAAAATGATAGATAATACAAAATTATGACTTAAAACAATTCATTACCATTTGCTTTTCCATCCATCTAATTTATTAGATTTATATATTTTTTATCACTTTCCCTTTCCTTCTACAACTATGTATTTACTTTATTTTACTGTTATTTATTATATTTGTTATTATAGTTATCACTGCGAATCAATGTAGGCAACACAAAAGAGATGAGGACATAGCGATACTGGGAGCCTCAGCCTCTTGTCCTAAGGGCGACACAATGGAACAAGTTAACTCGTTTGTCTACGAGTAGTTGCTAAGAAATTTGGCTCAGCCGAAGATGTGAAAAGTCTCTTTAAGAATGTCTACAAAGCTTTTATCTAGTTTCATTACCGAGCAACTATGTCCAGTTTGAAAGAACAGAAATCTCTCTAGAAACATGAAAATACGGCTCTTTAATATGAAAATTAAATCAGTTTTATTTTATGACATTAACACCTGGAAAATCACAGAGAGTATCAACTGCATATTACAGACCTTCGTCAACCAATGTGTATGTAGAATTCTGGCAATTCGAAGTCCAGAACACGTATCGAATGAAGAACTATTGTAGAATTCTGGCAATTCGATGTCCAGAACACGTATCGAATGAAGAACTATGGAAAGTCACCAACCAGCTCCTAATCCATTTGGAAATAATGAAGCTAAAATGGAAAATGGGGAACCCTAGAAAAAAAATAGGAAAGGTAATACAAGATATATGTGGTGCTGGTCCGCATAGAAAGAATTAGGACTGTTTGATAAGTCATGCAAAGAGGCAAGAAGGATTGGAACGAATGAAAAACACTCATGGGTGGCTAATGTTCCAGTGGGAGTCAAATGAATTAATAATAATAAAAATGTGGCCCTTGGTTGTAACCTAATCCTTATTGATGAATACAAATTGAAAATTATGCAAGTACTCATTTGTGAGAGCAGGCCAGGGGCACCAGCTTCTAGGGGTGTCTGCCACTTGTGGAAATAATAAAAAATTATAAAGATGTTATATAATATATATAAGAGAAATTAATTTTATTTTAGCCTACTTATAAAGCAATTACACTTCAATAAAATTTTATTGAAATATGAATTTTTTTTTGGAGAGATGACGTCAGGGGTGCCAAACGCCTGAGGCCTGCACTAGTGTTACCCTTGTATCACTTAGTAATATAAATATGATTAGTTTATTTTTTCTGCATTGTGCAGGTACTTCTACTAGGTAACAAGGATGGATTAATTTTTCCACATTCGTTTTATAACTAAGATCTATTGTATTATAGATGTATTGATTAGGTACATAATAACTCAGTAAATTGGTACATAATTTCTTTATAGTAACAGTTCAACATTTTTCTTCCTTGTGAGATGTGTAGAAATGTTTAAAATTAATTTTTTTCAGAATAAGAATTTTTAATTTTTCTCATTATTAGGGTTTCTCGTGTTTGTCGGCTGTGGCGTGAGGTGGCCATCTCCCCTCGTCTGTGGCAGCATGTTGACCTTGCCAGCACATGGGTTAAAGACAGAGCAAAAAATGACCTGAAGTTTCGTTGGCTGTGTGAAAACAGGCTTGCACTTGTCCATGATCTTAATATTGGTAAGCAACATTATTCACTATTCCTTTATTTCAATATCGGCAAACATCTTAAGGGAGAACTTTTTTGTGTGCTTGCATCTAATGATATCTTTTTTTTTGCTAATGAAATAACAGCTGCAATTTAAATTAATGTATAAAATTCAAAGAAAGTAAAACTTACTTTTTTACTTGTTAAACATAATAATTTAGGATGGTATATTTTACCAGATAATCATCTGAGTCATTGTTATTTAGAGAAAGAAGCCTCTAGTGCACTCTTCTGACTTAAGTTCTGCCCACGTGGTCATCCCTTAAATTGTTTGTTTATAATTTCCATTTCAATTTTCTTTATTTGTTAATTTCAGTAAAATTCTGGCATTAAATGTTATTTACCTTAAGTGATAACTGGGCTGTGCTTAATTATAGTTAAGTGATTTCGTTTACTTCCATAATTGACTGTTTCATTGAAAATCTAAAATACAAAGAAAAGTATTGTTATGTTTTATACTTTTTTTTTTAAATTGATTTATTTATTAAAATTTAAAACTATCAGAAAAAAAAATTGATAAGTAAATCTGATCTAAGAATTTAAAACATGGTGATAGCTTGTGAAGCAATTATACATTAATAAGCAGGTAATAATTTTCTTAATTTAAGAGGTCCTGTGTCCATCTTATTTCGAGATCCCTTGTTGGTAGGATTTTCAGGAACAGCTTAAGATGAAAGGTTAGAGACTAGAGGATTTGAGTTACCAAGGGGTTAGCAATTTAAAGAGGTATGTCTATTTAGAGCCAAATCTGCAACAAATGAAAAATCTTTATGGATAATTTTATTTGTGATATCTTAATATATATCTTAAAAAGCATTAAGGATTCTGCAGAGGATTTCGGATTGTAAGGATTTGGTATGGGAGGAATCTCATGATCCCTTGGAGATCCAAAACTCGAATGTTCTACTCCAAATAAACCTGATAATGGTGGTGTATTTGACTTTTTCGTATTATATTGGAAGTTTAGAGTATATCCAAAGTAAATATTTTATCAGAATCTATGAACAGTTTCTTGTTGTTTCACCTTTCATGGTAATTTTAAGTAAGACACTTATCAAGATGTAGTCCTAAGTAACAGGAATATTTTATTATTTAAAAATATTGTTCTAATCTTAAAAATATTGTTCATTAAATTGGTGGAAGAGAGTAACTTGAAAGCCAAAACAATAAGGCCAAAGTAATTCACCAAAGTCTTGCCAAATATTATAAATTTACTGAGTGGTCCAAAGCCTCATTATTGTTACCTTTAGTCTCTTCTCTCTGACAAGAAAACAACAACATATTGAGATCAGGCTATAACCATGGATACCGTATATACAGTACCAAACAATAAATTGGATATTCTGGTACTACAAAAAAAAAAGACTATAATAATTGAAATAGGAGTTCCCCATGATTATAATGTAGGTAAAGGCTCTTAGAGAAAGCGAGGAATTATAAAAAACTCTGTGAGTGACTGAAACATTTTAACCATCTCAATGAAGGAAAAATATAATCCTTCATTGTTTTGAGCAATGGATTGGTCCCATAGCAAATGATTGGGTGGGAGTTCCTGATTATATCCTGGAAGAACAGCCAGCATTGTTAAAAAAAAATTAAAAATTTTCATAAACAGAGCCTAACCCTTGACTCACTGAGTTCAGGCAGGTGAATATTCCAAGCAATGACAGGGAGTGCGAAATTCTGATAACAATAGTAAATTTTAATGCTATACTTAGCAATTTATACCAAAATTTGCTATACTTTCTGTTCTTGAAATGGCTTCCACATAATTCATAGATAATTCTATGCTACCTGGAATTTCCTTTCTTATGTCATTGAAAACAGGCCATTAGCTGGACCAGTGTATCATGATGTATTTTGTTAAGTGAGCAATTTTCTTCTGGCTTGAAAATGATGAAGTTTTTGTTCAAAGTAAAGTCTTAATGCATGCCCATGAGAGAGTAAGGCAACTCCTTTTGCATAAATCATCATCCAGCATACCTGGTAATAAATAATAGACGAGCCTTTTCAATTGTATATGTGCATCCAGAATCCCAAATTTCAGATGAATAGACTGGTGTGCTTTCTATGATTCATTCATAAAATTTTATTGTTGATGTTTTAAAATGGGGGGATATACAGGTTCTAATAAAATTATTATTATTATTTCATAACTATCACACATTATTTTAATGAAAACCAGATTGTTCTCTATGAACATCTGTTCAAAAGATATTAATTTTCCATGGCTTACCGATAAGAACGTCTTGTTTGTCGACTGAGGCTGGAATGGCTTCATATTTTCTAACCGATTGCTTACTTTTCGTGCAATACAAGTTTTACCAGTTTAGGGTACTTGTGCCCATGTCGATTTGTGTTCTTTCGCCAAGATGCCATATTGTGTCATGCCAATGTCTAAATGTATATAGAATAAAACACCTGATAAATATTTATTCAATCTTAAAACATGTTGAAAGTCAGTTAAATAATTATTTTCTTTTTATGTCATTAGATGTATTAAGGAAATTTATCAACCAATATTAATTGTCCCTTATAGAATTTATTCTCCTTTTAAAGATATATTTCCTTTTTTATAACAAAAAAAACTTTCTAGTTGAAGGACCTACAAAATAACTGAAATTTTATTTTAAATAAAAATAAATAAAATGTCATAATAAATATATATCACCATTATTTGTTTCTGAAATATTATTTTGACAGTAAGTTAAATATTTTATATGCCTATTAGTTTTTAGCACGTTCATTCACATTAAATGAATGTGAGCTATCCTACATATTTCAAATCAAATGTTATTTTCTAAAAAAGAAAAACACTCAATGCTCTATGAATAATTCAAAAACCTTGAAAAAGTATATGAAAGTACCATAGTAATAATAAATTATCGCAGATATTGTCTTTTGTAAATTCACTCATATATTGTTTTTTTGTAAATTCACTCATAGTAAATAATAATTGGATTTATTTTATTTTTATAGTTTATTGTACAACTTTGCCTATTTATTTCATTGGATATTAATATTTTATCATCATTTGTTTTTAGTTTCAAATTCAAATGGTACAGGCCAATTTGATTTTCTAGTAGTTTATATTAAACCTTGTGTATAGTATACAACATAACATTACCTCATAAAAAATATTTTTAAATTCTTAAAAATGAGATAAAACTACATTAATAATAAGGTCAGAGAAAAGTTATAGATAACGGATTTTTGTAATTTATAAAACTGAAATGAAAACATGCAGTATAATTCAAAAAGTGTTAAATTGCTTAAAAAAAAAAATACAAAAAACATAATTTTTATTTCATTTATAATATTGATAAATGAAATGCTTCTATGTTTCTAAATGCTTTTAGTTTTAATTGTGAGAAAGAAATCTAAAATATCAGCTATTTAGAGGAGCAGTAGTGGGCTCTCAATGATATTCTGAAAGATATCTTCAGAGATAGGAATATCTTTTGATGAATCATTGCCGCTGGTGATGAGAAATAATCCAGTATTGTATAGATTCATGATAAGTTATAAGTTTCAGGATTTTCTCTCTTAATAGAGACTTTGCAATAGCCAGCTGCTCATGTTTTACTGACTCTAAGGCTTTCCTCACAATCAATGAAAGTGGATATTATTTTCCTTTCTTTTTAGCCTGAGAACTGAATTAACAAGTATTCATAAGATAAAAACATTATCCCTAACTCCCTAAAAACAACTCCTATTTTTTCTAAATTCTATTTAAATATTTTATTTTAATTATTATTTAATTTTATAATATTAATTTTATTTAAATTATTTAAATAAGTTTCTTCTCATTTGATGTGTCTGTTATAAATTATGGTGGTGAAAATGTTTATGATGTTCCGCCAGGAAAGTTCTCAGTAATTTTTGGGATCACTTGTAGATCCATTTTTGTGGAGCAAAGTAATTTTGATTTTTTGCCAACTGTGAGGGACATGCTCTTCTGACCATATTTTGTTAAAGAACTTTAATAACCTGTTTTTCACCAAATATTTTAAAATATTCATTAGTATCAAATCTTGTTCTTTAGCTTTTTTTTTTTACTAAGTTTTATATTTTTAAAATTTTACCATGTAATCAAAGAAACTTTCCCAGGCCATGTAATCAAAGAATCATTCGTGGTGTTTATAGGCCGGATCCAGCCCGCGGACTGTAGTTTAGAGACCACTGATATAAATTAACATAAAGTTAAAGTTGTATAAATGAAGGGATGTATTTGTAATTTTAAAAGGGTGTTTAGATTCATATTGTCTGGAATAAGAAACATAATTACTATAGCAATTACCCTTTTGACCTAAATTATAAGTTAATTTATTTTACTATATCTTCATATATATTTTAATACCGCCTTACTCAGTTCTCACAACTTCACAAGAGGTTGAAGGAAAACATCTAATTTTTTTGCTAATGACCTCCGTTTTATAAGTTATACCACATTTGTAACTCAAAGAGTCTTGAAAACATAAATTTGATCTATTTATTGAATGCATGGTTACCATTCGATTGGAAATGAAGAAAGTTATCCAGTTAGCTACCTAACTCATTTTAGTGTCAAATATTGAGTTAGGTGATGTTAGAATTTATATGGTGGTATACGATTCTTTTATATATATATATATATATATATATATATATATATATATATATATATTTGTATGTGTGTATGTATACATATAAACACACAAATAAAATTGTACCAGTCAAATAAATATTTTTATGGGCTCCCTTCAGATATACCATATACGTCTTAAAAACAAATATACAGCACAAATGAATGAAATATACCATAAAACAACCCAAATATGCTGTTATTTTTAATGGGAAGTAAAAATGTAATCGTCAATACTGCAAAATTTGTTCAGGCGAATTAGGCTCTGGGTTATCAATTTTTGGAGCCAAGTTATCAGTCTTAGATCGACTCTGAAGTCAGGATTCTGTGATAAAACTCAAATTAAAATTTATTGATTATTGAACTCATTTAGAAAGATATTTGTACTACTGCATAACAACATTAGACAACTTATAGAACCAATTGAATAAAAAATTTAGTTATATTATGTTACAATGTTTTTAAATTACAGGTGGTTGGGAGTTCGACGGCATTCCAACTATTCTTGATAAACTTGCCTCTTCCTGTGGAGAGCTACGTGGCCTAAGCTTGACAGGGTGGCAAGGACTGTCGGCTGAGCATGTCAAGTTCCTAATCTCACACTGCCCGAAACTCCAGCGTCTTGATCTGTCCTCCATCAATGTAAGTGTTTATGTTTTAATTGTTATTTGTCTTTTTTTTTTTTTAATTGTTTCTACTTTTGTAAATATATTTTAGAATATCAAATCACATTGACACTAAACTAAAAAAAACAAGAAAAAAAATACTAAAGGTTCCAAAGTAAATTCTTAATTCTCTCAAATAGCAGTAAATGACTGGCTTGTGTATGCTTAATAGATTTGGACATCATCAGAACTGAAAACCATGAAACCACATTAAAATAGGCTATATATAGCATATTACACTTTAACAGTCTTGAAAAAAAAAATAAAAACAACTAAGTAATGATGATACATCATTCCAAAAGATTAATTAGATAGAAGCAAGCAAAGGGAAACTCTGGCTCTGTTGATGAAGAGGACCAGTCAGTCGGGAACGGGTCGACAAGGTTTAGTGGACCAAGATCCTTCTACACAATGGCTTATAGAGGAAGAACTTTAAAGACTCTAAAAATTAAAAATATTCATTCCATTTTACCCAAAACCAAGAGAAAAAGCGGTGTAAATTATTACAAAATCATATATTATTTCCAAACAATTTAATATTACTTTCCATGTAACATAAATAAAAATAAATAAAAGGTGATTCCTAATATTGGCCTAAATATATATTTTTTCATCATTGATAATTTGCTTAAAAAAAATAAACTTTGCTTCAGTTGATCTGAAACTTTCCAAAAATTCAAAACCAAAAGAAAAGATATATGTTTTGCAGTAGAACATATGAAAAATATTTAGGACACTATATATTTGCACGAAATTGTCTGATTTCAATGATTTTTTTGGAAAGTTTAGTCAACTTAAAAAACTACATAACATCAGCAAAAAAGTGTATACTTCTTAAGTTATTGGGAAATCTAATTTGACCTTCCCTTTTAACTCTTTTAACTTTTTTTCCAGTTTCTTTTCGTTGAAGGGACGCTATTTAGATAAATTTAAAAATCATCGAGGAGAAGAGTTTAGCCAAGTTTCATTGAAATTGGTTAATTCGTTTAGGCATTACAGTCTATACGAACACAGGTTTTTTGGCTGCCATCTTGTAAGGATAGAGTGGATAGTAATGTCTAGGTAGGATCATCCTCGTGTGACCTCTGGCTTTGATTCTAAATTTGAAAAAATCGGTCCAGCATTCTCGGAGAATAGCCACGGACGGACATTTTTTTATTTGATTTTCAAATTCTACGTATCGTGAAACATAAAACTTTAAATTTAGAGCAAGGATTAAATTTTTGAATTTGTTGGACAATTACAATGGCTCATTATTGAAAATAGAGTAGGTGTCTAGATGGTCCCATATCAATTTTATTAAATTCTAACCAGAACTTCAGCTTACGTACTCGCAAATTCATTTTTGTAGATATGCCAATATTTCAGAAACGGCGCATTCGATTTGATTCAAACTTGAAGGAAATTTGGAGAACAGTATAGAAATTACTTAGTATCAATTTCATTGAATTCCATCTCATAATTAAAATTGATATAAATAATGGTTATAAATATAATGGCTATGAAATGTGGAAGGCACTGATCATATTGGGTGGGAGATAAGTTATTACATTATTGTTATGTGGTTATAAAATTTTAGGTTTTTTTGAAAAAAAATAATCTATACTATATTGTTTCTTCGATTTCAAATGTTACTGGTATGACACTTAGTGTCGTTACTTAGATTTTGTGTAATTTTCAATAAATTCAAACTAATTTTTACTCTGAATTTGTAAAAAAAAAAGTTTTGTTTGTGATTGTGTTTATTTCCATTAAAGTTCAACCAGGTCGTCGTGGTCTCAATTTTCTCCTTAAATATCCTTAAAATTGTGTCAACTTCACTCATATTTTTATATTCCAGCTTAATTTGTTTTATTCTGACTGAAGAAAAGTATTGGTTTCGTTACCTCCGAACAAACAAAAAGTTAAATACTTCCTATCGATTTTTAGTTCCATCCATTTTACGAGTGAAAACATACCTATTTAGTACATATCTTTACTGTTAGTGCAAAGGTCGTATGTAAAAGTTTTCAATTTTTATTCTATTTTTGACATTATGTAGTCTGCAATTGATATAAGTAGTCTACTACTATGAAAAATAGCAGAGGGCAATAAAATATAAAATTATGTTCATAAATCATTAAGAAATAATTAGTTTTTATGTTCTCCAGTAAAATACTCAGTTTTTATATACGACATTTGCACTAACAGTAGTGAGATACATATTCAGTATGCACTGTAATTTGTTTTTTAATTACGTATTATCAAATATGCATTCTGCAAATGTGGGACTTTTTCGCATTTTAATATTTGCTGATAAACAAAACTCGTGGATTTCAGGCCTCCCGTATATGTTGATGAATTACTGAATTTCCGAAAACGGCTTCTTTCAGAGATTATGTTCTCATAAGAAAAATTTTAGACCTTTTAATATAGATATTTATTAGTAAATGAAAACTATGAGGAAGCTATACTGACCTTACTTGGCAGACGTTTTTTATATTTTAGGTAACAACTTTTAATAATTTGTTTTTTCGAACTTCTTATCATCTGTAAGCGAATATTTTTTTTAAAGAAAGATCCTAAAAAAATTCTGTACAAATAAAAAATTATTACAAAGCATCTTTACTTCATGCTAATTGTTACTAATCACATATAAAATACCTGTTGACAACAGCAATCGACATTTTGAAATTTAATAAAAAAATAAATGAATAATTAAAAAAAGAATGGATTGAAAATTATTTCAGTTATACTTCATGCCATCTGGCAGTAGTAATTTTTATTTTTAATTTTTTCAACTCTTATAAATATATAATAGTTCATCCTTATTAATGAGTGGATGTTGCTTATTTGTAAATTAATATTTGTTTTATTATTGAATAGCCTGAAATGGGGAATCCGAGGAGTGCAGTTTCCATGCTGTCTCTAGTCTCCTTAGCCCAAGAAATGGGGGAGCGCCTTACCCAGCTTGTTCTTTCTGATAACAAGCTGTCCGGAATTCCTCAGATCGTTTCGGCACTAGCGGTAAGTAATTATACCAGATTAATGTTATTTATAATAATTGTATAGTTTATAAAATTCACTTAATTCTTTTGACTTTATATTTATGTTTATATGAACTTTTATTAATTGATAAAATTTATTAATGTTTTCTACATTAATTAAGAACACAAAAGATGAAAAGTTCTATAAAATTATAATTTAAAATAATAACTCATTTATTGGTATAAAAAATAATAAATCTTATTTATTGTTTGTGCCTAAGGTGTCATAGTTAGATAGTATAGACAATTTTTTGAGATCTTATAAAACATAATGATATAAGATACAACTTTTCAAAGTTGCCTTAATATATCTATTTAATTTCAATTTACTATTTCTGATTAGTTCATTTTAAAGTTCAACTTATTGAAGGTTTTCATGCAGTTGACGATTGCAGGTTTGAAGAGATTAGGAATATCCAATATTTGAATTAAACATAAAACCAAGCTGGATAAGCAAGTCCAACAAATCAATTGGAAATCACAGATAATTATAATCATAATTACAAGTATGCTTAAGGTTCACAAAAAAATAATTTAAAAAATGGTATACACAACATTTTAATCTTAATTATGATTGTGGACCTAGCTGTGAATACGATTACAATTGTGTAATCAAGTAATCAGGCTATTTTTTATTTTATTGTAGTTGTAAATGTAATCATGATTACAATTATACTCATATTTTGAGAAATTCAGTATTATTTGGGTATGACTTTCAAATTCCATTAAATGCTATTTTTTTTTAATTGATCAAGATTTTTTGTTTTTAGAGTTGCTGTCCAAATCTGCAGGTGCTTGACCTGTCCAATGTTCGAACTGTATCGCACACTACAGTTCATCTGCATATAGAAAAACTGCAGAAAGGTTGTCCAAAGTTGCGCGTACTTAGGATAACCAATAGCGAACTAGCCATTGCTACTGTCTCACTGAAAGAGCAGGTATAGTTATTTTTTAAATATTCAGATAATTTTTGAAACACTTGTTAAAACCTTTTTAATTTTAAAACTTTAATAAGAGAAGAAGAGAAGCAATAGCTATTACTTATTTAATATTTGCCTTCTTGCTCTTTTTTCCACGATCAATCAGAGAAATTTAATTTCTGCTGCTGTGATTCCGCTTTCTCATCTGCTTGTTCTTAACTAACTTTCAGCATTATATAAGGGTACAGATACTAAGAATATACTCGATATATATAGAACAACTAATAGAAATAGATCTTCATTTTACTTCTTGCATCCACGATGGCTTTTAAGATTGAATGCTCATCATTTCTCTTTACTTCACAATTTTCTTTATAAATTCAAAACTTCGGGGTGCACCCACAATCAGGTTTTAGAATTGATCGAAGTTATATGAGACATCTATTTTTTTTTCCTTCATTTCAAAAATACAACGCTGACATGAAGGCTTATTGTAAACCTCTATTAATGTCAATCCTATTCAGGACGTTATTCCTGCTGTCTCTAGAAACTGAACAGGCTTGTTGGGTTGATAAACTTGTTTTTCTTGGGATCAACCATCTTATCATTGCAGAATAAATGGAATCTTAATTCAGCAAATCTTTCACACCAGCAAGTAAGAGATATGATAAGCGGTTTCATCCTCCTGACCTATAACCTAAAAAGAGAGACTCAGTTAGCCGGAGATTAAACATGTGATATTTTAGTTTACAGTACCCAGTATATATTGCTGTAATATGAGAAATATATTTAATATGAGTTCCAAACTAATGTAATATATTTTCTCTTAATAAAACATTATTTTTGTACAGTGTCAAAAATTTTTTTTTAAATTTTTATTTCTAAAAATGAACTAAATATCATTTTAAACAAAATTAATCATAATTAATCGTGAAAAAAAATATAAAATACCAAGAAAACAGAACTAACAACCTAAGCTAGAATTTTTATGCAATTACATTTTTCGCTTTCATTCATTTTTTAAATAGTTGTCCAAATATCTTTATCAATCAGTGTACTCAAATGCCATTAACCACATTTAAATTTGCTTATGTGATGATAAATCCATGAAATTGCACATTTGAACTTCCAAGTAAATAAAAAAAATGTTAAAATAGAATAAGAAATAATTAAAGTTAAAATTCCGTGTATAATCATAGGTTCATTTACTGCATATAAATTCAGTATCAACATATGGCATCGATTTTAGGAGTAAAGTTACAAAGTAAGGTTACTTCCCTGCCAAACCTAGCTTAAAATTATGTTAACCACAATACCTTAAATCTTACTTTGTTGTAGTGTTAGAAACTTAACTATGAAAACAGGTCTATAAGTCTGTGGTGATCTACCCTGGTAGTCGAAAACCAAAGTACTTAATTGCGATTTCTAAATCAAGGAAGTTAACCTTTACAGAACTGAGTATAATTTTGGACTCATTAACACTGAAGGTCTCGACAAAGCTTGTTCAAATAGGAAAATGACTCAATGGATGAGGAAGAGTCTAAGAAAGGATGACTTGAAGTGTCAGATTAATGAGCATCCAGATCTTATTTGGAAAAAAAGAGAGGTTATCGTTAGAGGAGCATGAAATGAAGTAATGGTTAGATTGACAAGGTTTCATAAACATATATATAAAGTATACCGATCAATTAACTATAGAGGTGGTGAACCTATGACTACTGGTTATGACTCTCTGAAGGGAGGAGAAAATGATATGTGGGTAACCTACTCGAAAATGGCTACTTATCTATATACTGTCATTTCTAAACTTTGATCAGGATATCGACAGCCACAATGCAAAAGCATGTAAGAACAAAAACTAAAAATTTTTAGGAGATGAAAAAACTGCGTAATTTTAGTTCTATGAGCGTTATATTTCCAGTTCGATTTTTTTCACAGCCCTAAGACAAATATGTAATGCTCTACGTAACTTTTTTTATTGTATTTCTGCCAAACACTCGTTTTGAGCCATTGTTTTAAAAACAGATATTAGTTAGGTAAAAGCAATCAAATTTATTGTAGTAACATCCATAATTTTGTTAATAATGATCAAATCATGATAAGAACAAAGTCAGTTTCCAAATATAAAGAAATGATACACTTGAGATGAAAATTTGTAAAACATTTGACTGGAAAAGCGTATATTTGATCAGACAGATTATTCACTTTTTTATTTCCCACTGTAGGCGGTTCAAACAGAGTGCATGCATCCCATTTTGGAGTAGTCTATGAAAATATTTTTTTACGTACTCAACTTCATGTGAACATGATTTGATTCACGAATGCTTGGTAAGTTCTGGGTAATCTGCTGATGTGTAGATCACTTCAATTCTGAGCTTCTTGCAATTGAAGGTTAATTGGTTTGAATAGATAAAACTAGAGTTCTTTTTTCATCTCGTGTTAAATATTCTAATCGATAAACTCAGTTCTCTGTTTCACCATCTGGAATTTGGCGGTATTGTAGCTTTTTTTTCAGTCTTATATTCCCACTTACCACTTTCTTCTTTGCTTCATCTAGTTCCATGGTAAGCAGTGCTGGCCTCAGATAAGGGAACCAGAAGTGCAGGGCTGGAAGTGCCTACTGTTTATAAGAAATTTAAAACAAAGAATACAAAGCGTTTGAAAAAATTTGATTTTAGCCTAATAATAAAGCTAATTAATCTATGCGCAAAACGCTTTATACATTCTCTATTTAAATGACCACCTTTCATTGAGCATTTCAGTATGTTTTTTTGGTAACGACATGATCTCTATAACCTTTACTGTAATTTACAGTTTTTTACATCACAATTTGCTGGATTTTAATTTACAGGTTTTTACAAAAGCCAATGAGAAGAAATGAAACATCGTAGATTTCGTTTTGTGGGATCAAAATATGCACCAAGTCAAGATTGACCAGAAAAACTCAAAATCTTATTTTCCAAAGAAATTGTCCTTACAGGCTTTTGCAGCGTGGCTGTCAATATTTTATTACTAAAAATTATTATTATTACAAAGTATTCATAATGTATATACATATTTACAAGATTATATTGCAGATTTTTTACATTAAAATAATATGAAATAAAAATAGGACTTCTAATTAAAATTCTTGAGTGCGCGCGCACATTTAGTGGTGGCAGGTAGCGGGCAGGTAAACTAATTGCCCACCGCAAAATGAATATTGAAACTCTCCTTTATTAGTTCTGTCCTTGTTGCTCGACTAAATGTCTTAATTTATTATCTATATTAATAGCACCGAAATGAAACAATTTGTAACGGCCAAAGGAGCAAAGTGGGTTTAAATATTTTTTTAATGAGGAATGGAGTTGAGATTCACATTTCGCACCTCAACAAACCCTCAAATACGAATTTTCATTACAATCGAAAAATAAATCAAATTTTCGTCAAGGCTTTTTCAAATGTTTTTAAAAAATCATAAAAGTTGTCATAACTTCGACATGGCTCTACAATTTTAGTTTGAATTGTAACCCATCGTTATTTGAAAGCTTTTTTGATTCCCTGCAAATAAAAAAAAACAACAACTAAAATCGGGCAATTTGGTGCGGAGATATAATGCTTTAAACATTTTGTAATTTTTCTTAGGAGATTTAGAGACCGATTGCTTCTTATATAGACAATTATATTTAGCGATTTCTAGAATTGGAAAACCAGACAATCTCTATATCTATACAAAGAATGAAACAATAAACAATATCGCATGTCCACACGTATTGTTACATAAAATATTTTAGAAACATCTGATATCTTTTTTACTTCTTTTTTTATCTAACCAGAATGAGCCATGTAACGCGTGGCCAGGTCTAAAATATGGAGTATATAGTTTGTAGACTAATTGTGAGTTTGCATGTGTGTATACTTATGTACCATTCTTTATAAGCTGCCTCTTGTGTATATGAATTGCATCAACAAAAAAACAAAAATAAGGAAGTATAAGGAGGAGTGGAAGTGTTCCAAACCAATGTTGATTGTTCTTAGGATTCAGAAGGTCATGGCTGAATTATCTGTGTCATTAATATTAATGATTGCTACATAATATTTTTCTAAAGTTTAGTATTTTTAAAATTTTTTGTAATGCGAATTACATTTTATATCTCCATATTTTTATTTTGTTTTTTGTGTTTAGTCTAATATTTTTGTTAGGTATAAAATTTTAGTTGGGACTGTATCTCGGGAAATTTATATGTTTATTGTTTCTAAAATTGAAAATATGTTTTTGATAATCTTATAAGTATTGAAATGAACAATTAAAGAATGAAATAAAATACTTGTAATGTAAGTCTTACATTGCTACAAAATCCAATAAACTGATTATGATCGGAAGTGTGTGTCAGGTGATGGAAGGGGCAGTATAGAACTTCAGTGGGAGTCTTGGGCCGACGAAAGAAAAAAAAACTGATTAGATCTAATATTTCTATCTTTCTATCTATCTTAGCACTACAACCCGTTGGCAAGTCTTGGTCTTCTCCACCAGCTTCCTCCATTCATTTCTTCTCTGTGCAGCAGTCATTCAACTTCTGACTCCCAGGATGTCCCTTACATCTTTTTTTACACTATCTGATTATCTGAGTTTTGGTGTTTCTCTTCTAAAGCCCTGGAGAGGTTCCTTCAGAACCATTTTAGGGGTGGGTAGGGGTCCTATGCCAGTTACAAATCCTTCGCCATATTAATGAAGAGGAAGGGCATCATGCAGCTATAGTATATGGTGTGCGTCGATATTCAAGAGTATCCTGATCAGTCCATCTGATCTTCTCGATGGCAACTATTTTCTGTTTGGAATGTTCTATTTGATCAAGGGGATCTGTAGTATTAAGGTTATATTTTAATTATTATACTAAAATCAGGATCATTTAGTTAGTCAATCATACTGAAGTATATTAAAATAATCGAGCATACAATAACCTAATGAAAGAAATACCCTGAATTTCATTATATTTTTCAGAGCTTGTCAGAGGGATTTCCAATGTTGGAAGAGTTAAGCGTGGCTGACACTGCAGGAACTATGTGCGCCCAACCAGTAATTGATGATGATTCCCTCCAGAGGATATTGAAGAGTTCTCATAAATTGAGGCTGCTCGATGTCAGGGGATGTTCTAGAGTCACTGGTAACTCACTCGTCCGTTTGCCTGCTTGGGATCTGGAACACCTGTTTCTATCAGGTATTTTAAAAAATATAAGCTATATTTTTCAAGTTGAATTGAATATATCTTTCATTAAAAATATTTATTGTTGAAGTTGTTACCAAAATATTTATGGTTATAGAAATACAATGAATATTGAGTTGCATATTCATCAAACGGAAATATAGTTAAAGAATAAAAACTGAGAATGTATTGAAAATATTTTAATAATTATTATCATATCAACAAATATTGACATTGAAATTGAATATACTAGAACGATGTTCTTTGTAACAAAATGATTTAAACGTAAAGTTTATTATTAAGATTATTTGGACTCAATCTTAGGTCTAGAATTCCTCTAAAATACATACTACAGGCAAAGTGCTGCTATAAGAATGTTTAAATAAAAATATTACATTAGATTAGAAACAATTTGAAATATATAAAGTGTCCCGTAAGTAGAGGGAAATATTTAAAAGGTTGATAGAAGACATCAAGATTTACAAAAAAAGTTCATATAAATAATTGCCCAATTTCCAGCAGATAAGTAGAAAATTTAGAATTTGTTTTTTTATGCGAGTCACGTTTTTTGGTTAATAGGAAGCGATAACTTAAAAAATATTTTATTTAAGTAATTAAACATTGCTTCGTAGTAAACTAGACAAAATTTAATTTAAACAAAAGTAGTTTTTGTCTTTGTTAAAAATATTTGAAGAGGTCTATTGAGCGGGCAAACACATCTAAGTTGCGATTAAAAAAATGTCATAAATTATGTGTGATTTTTTTTTATCACCCTTCAACTATACTACAGTTACCCAACTTTTAGAAAAACTTCCTCATTTAAAAGACTTTAAGTCCATATAATTAAGTTGAGATTTGTTAGAAAAATTTTGAGATTTACCTCAAGTTGTATAAAGAAATAATGAGATTTTTTACCCAGTTACCTATTGTAAAAGTACCCTTATTTTCTGAAAAAAAATGAATACAATTAACAGTTGCAAAGCTTTTATTTTTTGTTTTTTTGTGATATGGGATTTATTGTAAAATGAGATTTATTGTAATAAACATAATTGCCTAAAAACACATTTTATTTGTATAAATTTAAAAATGATGATTTTTGAAGTATTTCGTCATGTAAGGTGGTTATAAAATTTTGTTTTTCTCACAGATTTCTGTCTGTAGGAATTGATGCATATTTGTAAGTGACAAACTTAATGTTTCTAGCCTGAATATTTACGTTTCCCTAAAAATACTTAAAGCAATCAGTAGGTTTAAAAGAAATCTACTTCTTAAAACCTAAAACATTTAATTTAAACATAAATTTTAGTAAGAAATCTGGGAGAAAACACTATTTCATAACTACTTTATGTGAATAATCATCATTTTTAAATTTTTAAATTCACAACCTATATTACAATACATCATAGAAATAAAAAAATAAAAGCTTTGCAACTGTTAATTGCAGTCATTGTTGCAGAAAACAAGGGTACTTTTAGGTGACTAATTGTAGTGATTGTTGCAGAAAACAAGGGTACTTTTAGGTGACTGGATAGAAAATCATATCATTTCTTTACTCAACTTGAGATGAATATAAAATCTTTTTCTAATAAACCTCGACTTAATTATGATGGACTTCAAGCTTATTAAACGAAGATGTTTTGCTATAAGTGTGGTGAGTGTAGTACAGTTGAATGGTGGTGAAAAAAAATCAAAAATAATTTATGACATTTTTTTAAAACTGAACTTAGCTGTGCTTTTCCACTCAATAGCCTTCTTTGAATAATTTTAACAAAGACAAAATCTACTACTTTCGTTTAAAGTAAATTTTGTCTAGTTCATTATGAAGCAATGTTTAATTACTTAAATAAAATATTTTTGAGTTATCACTTCCTATTCAACTACAAACATGACACTTAAAAAAACAACACAAATCTTAAATTTCCTACTTTTCTTCTGAAAAATGGGCAATTGTTTATATGAACTTTTTTGTATATCTTGATGTCTTCTATTAATCTTTTAAATATTTCCCTCTATTATGAGACACACTAAAAAAAAAACAAATCTTAAATTTCCTACTTTTCTTCTGAAAAATGGGCAATTGTTTATATGAACTTTTTTGTATATCTTGATGTCTTCTATTGATCTTTTAAATATTTCCCTCTATTATGAGACACACTAAAAAAAAAAACACAAATCTTAAATTTCCTACTTTTCTTCTGAAAAATGGGCAATTGTTTATATGAACTTTTTTGTATATCTTGATGTCTTCTATTAATCTTTTAAATATTTCCCTCTATTATGAGACACATTGTATACAATAACTAGAATTATAATTTGCAAATGATTATAATAATTGAAATTATATCTTTAAAAAAACAACTATTTCTGAAATTATTATTGAGAAATGTATTAAATTAAATTTATGAAATGTCATGTAATAGTCAGTGGATCTTTTTATTTCACTATAATCTGATATTGTTAGTTTAATGCCAAAAATCACATAAGTACATTTTTGGATCTAAAGTTTTAAGTGAATTTCGACCTAATGCAGAAACGCAGTAAGTGCATCAAAATAACACAAACCCTTTTATGTATAAAAAACACTTACAATAAGTTCACAATGTTCTTATTACACAGAGAGGAAATTCATCAAGGCCAAGATACATTGTGATTTAATTTTATGAAATGTTACTTTGTGACTTTTTGCATTAAATCCACAATATTTATTGCTAAATTCTTTTACTAGGTTGTAATTCCACTTGACTTACTACTGACCAATTTCCATTTAATAATTTATTAATTCAAAGTTAGAATATTATTGTTGAAATATATTCTACAATACTATAAAATGTTAGGTATCTTCTATTTTCGTTATGTTATAATTGAGGACACTATTAATTAGGACATAATTGAGCAAGAATTTAATAATTATTTATTCATTTTAATTATTTATGATTATCTAATCTGGATCATTTTTTTTTTATATATTCTGCACTATTTATTTTTATTTTGTTTGATATTTAATATTGATATGTAGACCAGAATATTTTGTTTTTAATAAATTATCACATTATTAAAATCACTAATAATTTGTGTAATCTTGTCATATGTTGACTTGTTCAATGATTTTGTACTATTAATTTGTAAAATTACTTAGTAATCACGAATTAATTAATTATTATTAATGAAAATGGATATAGTTTATGACTCTGTTTTTATATCTAAATCAAACATCTTCTCTTGAGTCTACAATAAATCAATATTAATTAACCAAGTGATTGTGAACTATATTAAGCCTGTTTTATTCTGGGTTTGATTTGATTACAAGCTCTCCTCTTGGGTCAGGAATTAGTGGTGAATTTGTCCCTGCTTTGGTATCAGTAAGATTATCACAGAATATTAGATGTTTGTTGACTTTCTGAGATGTACAGAATTTCTGAATAGAACTCTTCTTTCTTTATTCTTAATCAGAAAAAAAACACACATTCGTCTGATTGTGTTGTTTAATGATCACAACTCATGCTCCCATGAATTCCTATCTTATGTACTGTGTATATTATTATACTCAAACTTATAGGAGCCAAACTGCACATTATCTGGCACGATACCAAACTCTGAGGTCATATACTTTATTTTCAAATATATATACAGTTATATATATTGTTCGCTTGTTTTCAAGTATATATACAGTTATATATATTGTTCGCTGAAGACTTTTATATATTTTTTGTTGCTTGGTCCTACCATTCCTTCTTCTTCTTTTGATTATTTTTTTACTTTTCTGAACTTCAATACTTTTGCCAACAGGTGATATATCACTGTTGATTAATTACCTGCTCATGAGAATTTGTAATGAACTATTTGTTAATCCCGTTCCAGACATGTTCTGTTACTCCAGAAGTCCTAAGTTGTTGTCAGTTCATTGTACTTCCATAGTAATGTTTTAGTGTATTCAATAGTTTTCTCCAGCATACTGTTTAACTTAAGGTTATGTGGACACGTGTTGACAAGAGTAATCAATGTCCCATTCTTTAAAAATACTTTTAAATTCAAATGACCCAAATGGTGAGTTTTCACCTACTATTTTATTTGGATTACCGTGTGTTGCAAATAAAGGCTTTATTACTTAAAGTTTTGAATACAGAGTAAGACAATAGCCCTTGATACAAAATGTCTTCTCCTTCTTCTTCCATTGGTTTGACAGGCCATTACTGATCCCTGGCCTCCTCTAATAACTTCCATCAGTCTGTACTATTAGGCAGCAGTACTCCAGTACCTGACCCCCAGGATTGTCTGGGAATCTTCTGCTATACCATCCATCCATCTTAGATGCGATCTTCCTCTACACCTGGTACTATGGATGCCCTTGTCATTATTTTTCTGGTGATCTCAAACTCTTACATTCTTGCTACATGGCCAGCCCATCCTTATTTACTTCAGTGTCGGGTTCACCAAGGAGGTTATATATTTCTCGATTACCCCTCCTGAGGTATGTTTGACTGACTCTTCTAGGTACATAAATGTGTCGCAGATTTCTCTCAAAAGCCAATAAACTTCGCTCATCCATCCGTGATATTACTCATGACTCAGTGCTGTACCTCATACTTGCTCCTTAAATGTCTTCCTAGCCCAAAGTAACATTGGTTATCAATAAATTTTCTCCTCTCAATTTCCTTTGTGATGTCATTTCCCACAGTTATCAGGGATCTCAGGACAAACTCATCCACTTTTTCAAACTTATAGGAGCCAAACTGCACATTATCTGCCAAGATACCAAACTCTGAGGTCGTATACTTTGTTTTCACAGCATCTACATGTAGTCCCAGTTGTCGGGCAGTTGCTCCTAGAGCAAGGAAGGCTTCACGAACTGTAGCCTGGGATCTATCGATGTTTAAGATGTTCAAAGATGTTTACAGATAATTTGGAAGGGATGTTCAAAGAAGTTAATTATTTTCTGGTGAAAATTTTTAGCATAGATGAAACCATTTTACATTAGAAAAAATGTTCTATCAGACATGCATTAAAAAAAAAAAAAGAAGCTAAAAGCATTCCTGATTTGAAAGCATCAGAGGCTGGTTTAACATTGTTATTGGCTCGAAATGTTACAGCTATAAATCAGCTTTCAGAAGATGATATTGATAAGTTCACTTACTACTAAAAGTTGATTCAATATGAAGGAAAGAATGAAACTGAAGATTTTAATCAATGTCAAAAAATGTGGTCATCTATGTCCTTGATCAGCTGTCATCAAAGCTAAATCATCAGTATATGCTAAAACTATTTTCTTGTCCCACCAAATAACTTTTCCAGGTTATTTATTTTACAAAAGAACAGAAAAAGAATGTTAGTCCATTGTTTATTAATTTTAAACCTGAAGAACCTGTTCTATTATGGTCCATTTATATATTTTTACTCAAAACCTTACACCTTAATGCAACTCCACCCTTTCTTACCATGTTTAGAAAAGAAACTACAAATAATTTCTGATGTGTTTTATTTTTATATTGTATCTTTAATATTTTGTATACCTGGCAATTCTTCAGTCTTCATGTATGTGTTGAAAGCTTTTTGATTCTAGATTATTTTATTTTGCTTGAATATTATAAACATCTATTAATTATGTATTTTTTTCTTCTCGACAATATATCAATTAAAAAAATCTCAATTTAATAAAATTTAATGTTTTAAACTTTTTTGGCTCTACTGAAATGTTGGAATTTTTCAGTTGCACTATTTCACACAAACTGCTTGACAAGACGACCTACAAAATGATATCTGATTTTTTTTTTTTTTTACATTTTATTTATAAGATTGTAATTTTACTTAAAGATTATTAATATGCAATTGTGTGTGCAGGCTGTTATGTGACCCGCATCAACGATTCAGGGCTAGAGCTTATCTGCCAGAAGTGGGCTCACAGCCTCATTGAGGTGGACCTGGCCTGGTCCACTGCCACTCTTCCGTTGGACCAGGCTGTAGCTGCTCTTGCCAGCCCTGACCACAGCTCTCCCCTAAGGTCTTTACTTTTCTATTTATTAATATTTAATTATGTTTTTTACTACTCCTAAATTGAGGATTTTATCCTAGTGTTTTACTGCTATTACAATTTTCAAAAATGACTATGATGTGTGATAAATAGTCATGATGTAGTCATTTTATAATTTTTATTGTTGTTATATATCAACGTTTAACGGCATGTTAACACCACTGAAAGTGTTCGAGTGCTTTCCCTGATAACCCACAAGCTTGCTTGAGTTGAAATGTCGGTAACAATAAAAATTTGAAAATTACTTCATCCTGACTACTTATAACTCATGATATGTAGAACATTCAAGTAACTTTCTTCAATAAAATGACAATGCAGATGTATTTACTGAAAACTGGAGAAGTTAGCAGATCAAGGACATGTCTTGAAAAAGCATTTATCTGCCTAAAATAAAAGTTAAAATAATTTATACTAACCTGAAAGTTAATACTGGTTGTTAACTGTACAGGAAACAATAAAGTTGTTAATACCTGCAAACTGCTTATTTGTTTTTTTAATCGCTAGTACCTTATAAAATGGTGATGAATAATTAAAATAATACAATAATATTACCACTTTTATCAATTAAAAGAATGCTCAGGGCACACTCTGTATTAATTAAAAAAGCATATGAAATTATTTAATGTATGCAAACATTATTCCCACATGGAAAGTAACTGTTCTTCAGGGTTAAAAACAGACAAGATACAATGTAGGTTGCATTTCAAAACTATTTCTCCCCACTATTCTACCCTTTTTCTCTTTAGTCATATATTATTAAATTTAATATTAATTTATAGTATGAAATAATTCAGGTGATAAGTCAAAATAAAAATGCCATAAATAAATATTATTTGTTTTTGCCATTATTATTTTGACTGATCATCCCAACTATCCTTCTCTTCATTATTCACTACAGTCAACCACCAACCCACAATTATAATATAATTCAAGTTTGTTGTATGTTTAATTTCATGATACATAAGATAATTAATTTCTACTTTTCTTTTAATCTCATCTGTCTTATGTTTTACTATTACTGGTTGTTATTTATTTTTATTGCACGTTTATCTTAATTTATCATTGTTAACTCTCTTTAATTTTATAATATTTCTTTGCAGTCTTATTTTTACTTTCAATATTGTGTTCTAACAATTCAGATGTAAATTCTTTATTTCTTTTACTTTTTTTCTATTAATTTTTTCTTGTACAATTTTCATCCTATCTGGTTACATGTTTCTCATCTTTATTGTGTCTTGTATTTGTAATCTTGAAGTCGTGATTCAACTATTCTATTCATTTATCGAATAGTTTTAGGTTTTTTTGTTCAATTTTAACTATCCACTTTAATTCAGCCAAGTATTAATAAAGTTATGAATTTTCGATGAAAATGTTTATTGTTGATAAAAAAGAAAAGAAAATTGAAAGTATTTTATGGTTAAAAAAATAATGAATCTTCAAAATTTCTTTAACATTTTTAGAAACAGCTATTATAAAGAAAATGAATTCTTCAGGTCATTAATATTGTCAATAATAATTATTATTTCAGTTTTCAGAAATATTCATTGAGAAGTTTGTGATTATCAAATGTCTATAATCGATCTGCTATTTAAAACTATTAAGGTTTTAATTAATGTTATTTAGCGTATATGCTTAAAATAATAGGCATGAATTAATTAAAAAAAAAAATATTCCTGTTTTCAGAAATATTGTATGCTCATAAAATCTACTATTTTAAAAATAACAATGACAGTGATTTTTGTTTTCTTTTTACTATCTGTTGTTTTTTTTATATTTGAATATTACTGATAGTAATAATATTGAATACCGGTAATAGTAATTTACTAGTAATAGTAATATTGAAACCAATTTAAATTTAAGTAATGTATGATTTAGTTAAATTTAATTTTAGATTACCCATTATGGCAGGATATTTTTTTTTATACAAGAAGAAAGAAAATTAAGAATGAAGATGAAATATTTTCATAGATGAAATATTTTCATAATATTGGTTTATCATTGTATTATCATTACAACAAATATTTTCTTATTAATCTTTGTTTTTCATTTACAAATTTTTATCAAGTTATACAACCAACTTTTGAAATAAACTAAGTTCAAACTTCAACAAAATATTGAAAATTTAGTTAAAAGATTTCAAAACAATGCACCAGGTCTCTCAATTACCACTGCCATCTAGTCAGTGTTTCTTGTCCAATGAGGTATCATGAGGACAGAAAAAGATTGTATTAAATCATATCAATAAAATATACAGGATGTTGATCTGTCAATAATTTAGGGATAGCTAATAGAAGTTGGGGGTTAGATAGCTAATATTTATAGTTAAAAGAATGAAAGAGACCTCTTGTAAGAACAGTTTAGCTGAACAGAAATATCTACATATCTACAGCTTAGCTGTGTTAGTGAAGGATTATGGTTATCTTATTTTATTTTTTATGGCCTTATATAATGTATGAATGCAATTACTTATGACAAAACAATATAACCTCAACACTGGTAAGACCCATTTACACCATGAACTCAGAAGCACTGGAATCTTTAGCTTCTGTTGAGTCATAACTTAAAAAAACAGCCAATTTTTTTTATTCAGTTTTAATAGTTCCATCTTAATAAAATAAGAAAAAGTGTGTATTTATTATATCACATTTCAGGTAGAGAAATTGTAATAAAAGTAAGAGATCTGGAATGGAACATACATTTAATGCAAATTTTATATTTAAACTGAGATTTGAGAATGAAAGCAAAAATTACATAACACCGAAATAGAAGAACAGCTGACTTAGCTGTTACTTATAATAAACCCGTAGAGAACTTATATATTAGATAGAGAGATAGGTCCATGGGACTACCAAAAGTTTGGTTGATTTAAAGTCTATTAACTCTATTTATGGAAGTGAGAGCTGGCTCCCGTTGGACAGGCACTGGAGTAGAGCTACTGCTGGAAAAACAAAGTACCTCCATAGAATAGAAGGCAAAACAAGGAGAGGCAGAGTTAAGCCGACAGGCCACAGAAAGTTCAGCATTGCTGAGCTGAGCGTACCTGAGTCAGCTTCCAAAACCGAACAAAAGGTTTTCAAGGTTCAAAGAAGACCTAAATTGCTATGGATCGACCACATCCCTGTAGAACAAATTATATAAATATATATTAACATTCTGGTGTGTCCATAAAATATAATTATATATTTACAGGATGATTGATAAACAAATAATAGTACAGATAATGGAAAGATATAAAAACTTACATAAATATAAAATAGACAGAGAAAGTAAAATAAATAAACAAAGTATCAATAAATCACAAAATAATCAAAGGGGTACTTTGAGATTCTTATGACTTAGGTTTTTAAGTGCATTTCATGTTCAACTGGATTGGGAATGGAGTAGGTGTTTGAAGAGAAGAGATTTGAAGGAGGATGCTGACATTCCGTGTCGAATATCAGAAAGGGTAGAATTCCTGAGGGAGACAGCTTGAATTAATAAGGATTTGTCAAACGTAGCAGTGCTGTGAGAAGGAGGATAGAGGTTGGACGTACGGGATCTGGTAGGACGGGATTGAAAGGAGCATTTGAATTGTTGGATCTGTAGAATATATGAGGATATGATGAATCATTTGGGATATGATTCAGGTAATTAAATGGGAGAGTAGATTTATGAACTGTGATTGTTTTCTTGTTATCAGACAGCATGGAAATCACACTGACAGCTTTTCATTACCTCTCACAAGTCTATGGAGGAATTCTTTTTGTAAAAAGAATTGAATAATATACTTTGAAAATCTTTATAACAAAGTTATTTACAGGAATTTCAGCTCAAAGGATTCAAGTTTGGACTGAAAGTGAAAACCTAATTCCAGAGGAGCAAGGGTGATTTCGGAAAGGAAAAGGCTGTGTTGAACACTTATTCAAAATGATGTCGAATCATCAATACAAATCTCCAAGTTAAAGAAAACTATGTTTATGCAAAATTTTTAGATTTTAGAAAAGTGTTTGACTCCATCAACCATGAGCTCCTTTGAAAAAAGCTTTTTGATTTTGGTATCAGTGATAAGATTGTGAGATTGCATATAGCACTGTATGACATGGCTACAATGAAAATAAAAATTGGGGATGAGGTGTCGGAGGAACTAAAAATTAGCTCAGGACGTCTACAAGGCGAAACTCAGCCCCAATCCTTTTCATTACATTTGTCTCAGACATAATAACCTATTTTGTAAACAAGGGTGCATCAGGTTTACTCATTGATAGTGCAAGTGAGGTTATAATGCTACTATTGGCAGATGATATTGTGATGTTAAGCAATTCCTGGCATAGCACCCACAAAAAGCTTGCAGATTCTGGAAAGGTATTGTGCCCGAAACTCACAAGTCCTAATTCCCCAATAATCAAAAATCCTAGTTTGCCACAAATCACCATGTATGAAAAAAATGAAGTCTCTCTATTGGCAAAACAAAACCTCTGGAATTTACAAAAAGCTATAACTATCTAGAAGTGCCATTTTCAACATCGGCAAAATTTTCCAAAGCTGCTGAAAACTTTGTTTAAAAGTCAAATGTCGCAGGAGCGAAGGTACGAGAGATCTTAATAAGAGGTAAGAGCGATTTGTGGGAAACCAAAAATGACCCTTTTTGATTCAATGGTCTCGTTAACTCTTCTTTATGCAGCAGAAATTTGGGGCTTGAGATATTCGTAATCAATCAAATTCGCACAGGTGAAATTTCTCAAACTCTTATATCTCTGGCCAAAATCAACTCCTAATTACATAGTTAGATTGGAAACTGATCACTCACCGGTCTTGTTAGTTGTTTTAAAGGAAGCTATAAATTTCTATATCAGACTGTCATCACTACCGGACCACTGGCTTCCTCGAAAATTCTTGGAGAAACTGGTGGCTCTTGATGCCAGGAAGCCAAATTTGGATTTTAACTGGTTCTCACAACTTAAAAATATAGCCGCTTCTAATTTTGTTGAAGAATATTTTAATCATTTTTCTGATCTAGGAATACTTGTTTAAAAACAAAAATGCTATTTTAACAATTGTATCCAACAATTTATACTCCAGAGACATGGAATGTGTCTACAATTCAAATTATAGCCCTATTTTTGTAACATCTCTCTCATATTTTATAAATAATAATAACCTCGGAAGATCGCTTAATACCGTTGGGATACTTCCAAAATAAATAAGAGGTTGTTAAATAAAAAACAAAATTATAAGAATATTAATATAATTAATTGAAATTTACAATTATTCTATCTCAGGTATGGTTACTGACAATCAGATCAACTCAGACAAACTATTATTATTTACACTTTTTATACTAAAATTAAACACTGATTTTAAAATAAAGTCAAATATGAATTGGCAAGCTAACCTTTTTTCTATATTCACTGTTTCTTCCTTTGTTGCACCAAATTCATTTGTCTTCAAATGCTTTCTAATGTTCTGCCAAACACAATTTCCAAATTGGTGACACTTATCTTCTCCTCAACTCAAGCTTTCTAGGATATACTCTCTCTTGTAATTCCAAACAACTAGTCTATCTGCCAAACAACAACAAATGCCAAGATGGTAATACTATTACTGGATTTTTCCCACTGGAGCCAGGATCCCTTCTCCCATCCTCTCTTCACTGCAGTCAAACAATAACTGCTTGCCAAAACAAAAACCTTTGACCCTCTCCTCTTTGGGATTTTCGTTCTTGGGAAACTGCAAAGCAGCCATTTTCTTTTCCCTGCACTAGTAGAACTGGATTAGCTTAAATATTATTATTTGTATCTACATGTGTGTTTGTAATCCTAAGATCTCTGCTATTTGTTTTGCTTAGTTGTGTTCTGCTTAGTAAACTTTCTTTGGCATACATGTATTTTTATTCATTTATGATATTTACTATATAAAAATATTTGGAATATAAAATATATTTGGAATATATAAAAAAACTAATCCCTACTAACATTAAATGGGGCAGACTCCATGGCTACAATGTATATTTAGCCAATAAAATGTTTCCATTCTACTTTCGTTAACAAACGATCGATTTGAATTGAGTGTTGCTTGGAATATGACCAGAATATCTAAAAGACAACACAAAATGATTTTGTTCGTGGTAATGTACCATCAGGCAACAAAGTAAAAAAAAAAAAATGCAGGAGGCATTTAGGTTGGAAATGTCAGCGCATGCTTCTTAATCACCAGACTTGGCTCAGCAGAGGTTTATTTCTTATGAAAATGGCATAATGACCGGTTCACCACAAAGGAGCAAATTCTTCTGGCTTGACATTCATAAATTGCCAGAGATATAGGAATAATGTATACCTAGACTTAATTTCAAATGAAATATTTGTTAACATTTGTATGCAATAAATATGTATTTTCTAAGTGTAATACCTACACACCTTATGTACTTCTTGTAATCTCATTGACTGTTAAATGGCTAAAGCTGCCTATTTAATATTTTTAGTATTTACTGTTATAGCAATTATGTATTTTAACTTATTGTTATTACTAAAGCATTATTTATTAATACTGTTTTCTAAAATTTAGGGTGCTGAACTTGTGTGGGTCTTCAGTTAATTTGGACCCAGTGAAGTCAGTGCTGGCTCGATGCCCTATGCTCAGCTCTTTGAACCTGAGTTCTTGTAGGGCAATGCCGAGGGGCATCAAACGGCTCTACACTGGTCAGGCTCTGTCACAGCTTCGAGCCAACATGGCAAAGGAGCAGGAGTGAACAACAGAAGCAAACTGTGTTCTTATTTATATATAAGTATATAGAGAAAAAGTTATCTTTTATATATAGTTCTTGGTTTAGTCAAACTGTGTACGTCGGGACTTCTTATTTTAAGTTCGAAATGAGTTTTGAATTCTAAACGGGTTTGATTAAGTCATGGGACAGAAGATGTTAAGAGAGAGAGAGTGAAGAACCTACGCTTGAGGCGTTTGTCGTGCTTTAATCAACATGTAAAATATTAAGACAATAGTTACCTTCTGATGAGATTTTTGTAAGCATTCTGTCTGGTCACTGTGTTTGTTTAGAGTGAAATAAATATGTTCTTGGGCTTAGAAATACTTCATAATAAAAAAAAAAAAAAATCAAGCTCCTTATTTTGATGCTTACATGGGTTATTTTATATGTAATGACAGATTGTTGGAAGAGCAACTTTTTGTAATTAATTACAGTGCATATTGGTAGATACAAAGCCTTGCACAGATTGAGTGAAATAATCTGTAGTGCAAAAAAAGGTAGAAATGCAATGTTTTAAATTCTAATATCCATTATCTCTAAGTAGAACTTTAAAGATAAAAATAGAATATTCCGTTTGTTTTCAATTTGTTTAGTATATTAAAATTTATTAACACTGAAGGGGAAAAAGTGGCCAGATTATCTTATTTATTTAGTTTTTAAATCAACTAATAGTTAATATCTCTAGTTACAAACAAGTCTTTCACAACAATTAATTGATCATTTAAGAACAAATGATGTATATAATTAAAAATAACAAAAAAATAAATTTGTATGAAAATTAAAATTTCAATAGGATGTCATTCCTATTGATGTTTTGATAGTTAATCAGAGATATTTTCATCTTCTTTCATTAAAAACATCCATTAACTTTAATAGAGATACTAGTAAATATATGGACTATGTTAGAGCCACATTTTTTCCATGTTGTTATTTTCAATATATTAATAATTTTATATTCTCTGTTTGTTGGATTTAGTCCTTTCCATCATAAAAACTTTTCATTTTAATATAATAATCTGAACGAAATTATCACTCTTTTTGTGCAGGGTGTTACTAATCACCTAAGCATATATTTATGAGTATTATTTATTTTTTATACATATAAATATTTTTACTTTATGAATTTTATTATATTGTGGGTTTGATGGAGAAAATCATTTTTATTTGGACGGTTTGTATCGCCTCTTAGCATTGGATATAGTGACTCGTGATTTCATCATCAGTCAGATGTTGACTCGTATACTTCCATTTGTGTAAATATTTTTTAAAATTTGAATCTATGTAATTTTTTAAAAGTAAATAAATGTTGCTGAGTCGTAATACTGCTAGGTAATTTTGTGTTTTGAATTATGTTAGCATATGAATTCTTGTGATATGTGTTGAGTGAGAGTTACTAATCTATTTATCATTTTTCATTTGCGTTAAATTATGTTATTGTATGTATATTTTTTTTATTTTTAATAAGTTATTATTTTTTATGTCTTTTATTTGTGTGCCAGTGAATAAAATTTCTCTTGAATCTCTCCAGCAAAGCCACAATAGATAAGCATATGTGTGATGTTTTGTTTGTATCAATGTAATTCTTACATTGTCGAATATGTTGATCACTACTAGTAAGATTGCTCATAATTATCTATTACATGTTAAAATCTTATTCATCACTTTATTGACAATTTTCTATTCTTAGTTTTCCATTAAAAAAAAAAAAAAATTAAAATGGTTTTGTTAAGTATTTTATGTAATAATATAACTTGTATAGGTGAAAGAAACATGATTTTTTGTTACATTCAGTTCTTTTAAACATTTTATTTTCATTTTAAATAAAGTTAGGCTAATTTAGCACGTTTCATCAACACCAAATAAGTAATTGTATGTATATATATATATAAATTGTAAAATTTATGGAAACAATAAGTATGATTGAGATTTTGTTATAAAGTTGTAAAATATCCTGTTATTTATTTCTTGTTAGATGTTACAATTTTTTTATATTTTCATTTCAGAACCGTACAAACATTTTTACCATATGTATCGTGTATCACGGATTTGTTTTTAAAAAGTAAATTGAAGACTGCAATTTATTATTCAAATAAAATCGTGTTGTTGTTATATTTAACTGAAATTATTATTCGTTACCAAAACAAAAATGTAGTTCACTCCCTTTCCTGTTTGTATAAAATAAAAACAAATAAAAATTATGATAATAAAATAAAATAAATAAATAGAAAGGAAATAGTGCAATAGTGATAATACACATTTGTTAATTAAATTGTTTTTTGTAAGAAATTTTGTCGAGCGTCGGGTTTGGTATTTTAAATCTTCCCTTTTAATTATTAAGGCACCTGCCTAATTGAATATTAGTTAATTAATTAAATTTTAATAATAATTGTTTTATTAAATAAGAAACAAGAACAATGACGATCGTTTACAAAATTACTTTCTCGAGACAATTATAGCTGTAATTAGTAATTTTTAACTAAAATAGGTTTTTAAAATTATATTTTTTGCTTTTTTTTTTATTTACATTCCAACCTAAATATTATCAATAAAATAACAGTAGAGAGAAATAAATTATAAATGAATAAATGAAGATGATTCAGTATTAAAACAGAGATGAGTCAATTTTGTTCGACCACAAATCCTCTTACCAGTTTCTCTAGTTTGTACATAAAATATATTGCTAATTTTAATTAATGTTTGTACAGAATCTCATTATTATATTGTTTGAAATTTTATTAACTTATAATTAGAAGAATCGAGAGGGCTTTATATTATATTATATCATCGCTTATTATTGTAAAGTGACTTTGTAAATATATAAATATATATAGGGAGAGAGGAAGAAGAAAAGAAAAAGAAGAAAGAGAGATACAGATTTTAATATTTAAATTTATTTTTTATGAAATAATAATTTTAGTATAATTGTAAATTATTTATTATGTAAGTGGGGTACCTTTTATGTTTTAACAAGCAACTGTGTAATACAATCTGCAAGAAAAGTTAAAGGGTTGTTTAAAAAAGACTACACTTATTACTTATCAATATAAAGAAATTTAAAAAAATAAAATAATTTTCTGTATAGTACAATTGAATTAGTTTGTTCTATTATAAAAACTCCCTGTATGGAATTGGTATTAATACCATAACGGTTGAATGATTTCATAAAAAATTATGTTACTAATCTGGTTTGGCAAAACCAATTTCATCTTAGAATGGAGTCAAATAAACAAAATGAAAAATATTCAGTTCCTAGTATTTTGAATTTTTCTATTCTTTTTTTCCAAGTTGGAAGTGGGTTTGCTCAGTCATTAAGGCACTGGAATCCTAGATTTGCTGTGGAAGATAATTTATTCTTTCGGGCTCATCCAGCCTATACAAAGTGCGTATCCTTAATTGATTTGAGGGATAATCTAAGAGGGGGTTAACTCTTTATGCTAACCTTATCGCTATGGAAATATAATAAGGCATCGTGTGAAAAAACTAGTTATTAATGAAAAATTTCTGGTTGGGATTTTGTTTCTTTTTTTTTTTTGGTTAATAAAAGAAGAAAGATTTGCTCATTGTGAAATAGATATCATTATTAACTCGCCATTGACAATTATCGCCTTATCTTGGTTTTTGTAATCAACCCTTTAACTATGTACAGTTATTTATTGTATTTTATAACTTTTATTTTGTATTTGTTGTAATTTAATATTATCTTGATCAATATTAGATATATTTGTTGCATTATATATTTAAAAAAAAATTATTGAATGTTAAATTTGATAATGATTTTCAGTTTTGTTGGTACCCTGCTGGATTTATTTTAATATATCATACCAGACTGTTAAAAAGATTTGTTTAATTTTTATCAGAGGCACAATTTAAATACTACAAAATTTAAAATATAATCTAGTTTTAATGTTTATATGATTAATGTTACATATTTGTGATAAATACTTGTAAGTATTTATTTGATGTGCCATTTAAAAAAATAAAATTATTTGGGTGCCCTCTTTTATGTTCTTCTTGAAGTGGGAGGTATATATATATAAAGTTTTAAATTTGTAATGTGGTTTCCGTTACAAACTAAATTATACTAATTAAATATCCTATTACTTCTGTTTTTCAAATATGTTTTTCCAAACAATAACATAGGCTTGTTTATGTTGATACCTGCACAGTAGTTGTATTTATACATCGTAAATTATATATATATATACATATATATATAAATATTAAATAAATGGTATTATTGTTATTTTTAAATGTTATTGAAGTGTTGATTAACCTTTTCTCAATCATTGTTTTAAAAAAGTATTCACAATTTGATGGGCATTTTTTTCCTGCTTATAAGGCATTATTTTGCCATTGAATCAAGTGCAAAAAATATTTTTGAAAGTCGGTGTAGAATCAGGTCTCAAATTACATCAACAAAGCAAAATAGTGGGAAGTGTATGTTCAGGTTTTTAAATATGGATAAAGGCATTCCATAAATATATAATATAATACCTAGGCTTATTTTAATGGGAAAACAACTCTTGAAGGGCTTTAAAAATTGAGTTAGAAATTTTGGTCTAAAGGAAGATGGAATCCACTCGTGAATTTATGTTACTACATAATGTGGAATAAATCAGTAAGCACCTTGTAAATACTGTTGATTCACCTTTTCTCAATTGTGTACTCAGTATAACTCAAACTATATATTATAGATATCTCAATTTTTTGTTATTTTTTTTCGGAATCTTTATTTCAATATATTTTGGCTTCATTGTTTCTTCTAATAGTTGAAAATTTCAAATTCAAATATATCAATTAGATGAATTTTTTTTTTAATGGAGCTATGGAAATTTAGATTTCATAACTCCTATAATAACAAATGAAATTCTCTAACAATTATTTTTAAGTTTGTAAAATATATATATATATATACTGAATCGAGGCCAAAAAAAAAAAAATAAAATAAAATAAGAACTATTTTATTGTATTTATCTTAAAGAAGAAGTAGAACATACTAATATTTTATGAACGAGGAAAACGTATATTTATAAATATATTTTTGAAAATATATTTAATGAAATTTAACAAATTTATATCTGATGATATATTCAAATAATAAAATATATACCGTCGAATTATGGTAAAAAAATCATTTAGTAACATTTTAGAAAAGGAAATGAGTGAATGGATGACTTTTGAGATCTCAATACTATATTGAAAAGTGCATAAACTATTTTGGTAAATTTTACAAGGGAAAAATAAGTGTTTAAATACATTTAAAGAGTGATAGAGATTTAATTCCTGCATTATTGGCTCAGAGAAGAGTTATGTAAAGAGGATGTAGTTTTTGGGGCGCCTTGGGATGTGAAGGCTTGTGCTGTTGACTCCGACCTGAGTTTTGTAAGTGAAATACATGATGGAGGAAAATTTATTAAAAAATCAAATGAACTATATTTATCCTTTCAAACAAACTGTTATTCGAGCACAAGAAAATACTGGTTTTCTCCAGGTCCCAATTTTTATGTAGTTCCAATAGATCTGAACGCATTGCAACCTCCAACTTCATTAATGGACTTTATTATGCAAAATGATTAATCATAAAAATATCTTTCATTCATCCATTGTATATTTCTCATTAGAAAGTGTTGTTTTTTTCTTAAAATAGCTGCTGTTGGGAACGTTTTCATGAAGGAAGGTATTAATTATTTGGTCTCCGATTTGATCGGAATCCGAAATTATTCTATGTTTTTTTTCTTAGAGAACTCATTTACAAGCTGCAGGGCCATTTATAGTAATCTTTCTCGGATTTTGACAATGACGGTAAAAAATAGTGTTCATTGACCGTCGTTATCGACCATATCAATTAATCAAATTATTAAGTTTACGTACTCGTTCGACGCACAATTTTACGTTCTTTAATTTCTTAAAGAATACGTTTTTCGTTTTGATGCACTCTTTAGTAGTAATACATAAAAAAAAAAAAGATCAGATAAATCTGGATTTTTTGGCCTTTTCTCATGCTGGCTCGTTAGCAATTTAGTTTTTTACATTTACTTTTTAAGCCCATATACAGGGTATCACTTAAGTAGAAGGAAGCATTTAAAGGAGTGATAGCACAACTCAATAAATACAAAAAATGTATACAAACAGTAGTTCGATTTTCAGCAGGAAAATAGGCAATTGAAGTTTTATGGTTTTTTATGTAAGTCACGTATTTTGTTGAATAGGAAGTGATAACAAAAAACTATTTAATTTAATTAATTAACGATTGCTTCACTGTAAACTAGACAGAATTTATTTTAAAATTAAATAATTCTACTTGTTTAATTTAGTATTAATTTGATCGCACCCCCCGATCAACTCCTTCTCAGAATTTATTTTAAATAAAAATAGATTTTACTTTTGTTAAAACCATTCAAAGAGGACCTTTGAGCGGTTAAACTCAGCTAAGGAGTGGGGGAAGATGGGTAGTGGTGGAGAAACGGGTAGCGTGGGAGAAGCACCTGGCACAAAAGTGCGCTTCCGCTGAGAAAATTCCTGAATCCGCCTCTGGCTATCACTCCTTTGAATATTTCACTCAACTTACGGGACACCCTGTATGTGGGTTTAGACATGTAAAAAACAAAATTGCTATCACGAGTTACTAAGAGAAAACTTTTTACAGTTCTATCC